TGAGAAAGTGCTGTAGGGAGAAAAAGGAAATACACTAATTTCATCATTTTGTTCATTTTAGGGTAGATGGAATAGATGCTGTTACAAAGAGATAAAAAATTAGGGGATTATTTAATGCTACACCACTCGAACAAGAACACCAGCCTTCCCTATGATTAGTAGGTACACAAAGCAGAGAACTTAGATCACACAGGGAAAGACTTTTCAAAGCAATTAAAACAAAGCACAGCATGACTGAACTAATACCAGACATCTGTTATATCAATAAATGTAAATGGCCTAAACTCTATTAAAAACTTTTTAAAAGGCATTCAGATTGGATCACAAAGCTTAATTCAACTCTATATTATACGAGTCACATCTAAACAAAGTAATTCAGAAAGGTTGAAATAAAAGGACTGGCAAAGGTTTCAAGAAAAATGTGAATTAAAAAAGCATCTTAATAGGCAGTTACCATCTTAATAGATAAGATTGAATCCAGGCCAAAAGTATTAAATACAGCCGAGGAGGATGCAATTCACTATGGAGATTTAAGGTACTAATTAATACCCGTGCATTAAATTCCATTGCATCTTGGATACACAAGACCTAACTAATGTAATTAACAGGGTAGATATAACTGGTTAACACCAGACTCTGAATCCCAGAAACAAAGGCACGTCTTTTCAAATTCCCATAAAAAGTCACAAAACTCACAAAAATCACCAGAGATTATATCACAAAGGAAACTTCACTAAAGTCCAAAAAAGTATAAATCATAGATAGCATTCTCTGATTATAATGCAATAGAACTGGAAATAACAAAACACAAAGGCACCTACTACCTGGGTGGACAGATGGAACTCAAATGAGCCTGAAGCCAAAGAAGAAGAAATCAAAGCCAAAGTTATCTAGAAAATACTGATACTAAAAATACATGCTGGAACCTACAGGATACAACTAAAGCAGTGCTGAGATAATTCACAGCCTTAATTTACCTTTTTTTCTTATTTAGCAGTATAAAGATTTAAGCCTCTCAAGACATTTTTTAAAAAGGAAAGCAGGAAGAAGATTTTAATGAAGATAAATGCATAAATGAATGAATTAGGAACCAGAAAAGGGTAATTACTAATAAATGGATCCTAAAGATGGTTCTTTGGGAAAGGGGGGTAGACAACCTCATTAGCTAACTAACCTAATCAAGAAAATGCGGAGGGGAGCACACACAAAATATACAATGTAAGAAACAAGGGTGAAGTAATCACTTAAAAGAATTTATTTTGTGCAACCTCATGCAAATAAATTAAAAAACCTGGATAAGATGGGTACTTTTCTAGAGAAACATAATTTACCAAACTCATTCAAGAACAATTAGATCAATCATTACAGAAGAAATAGAGAACATTATCTCAGAGTTACCCAGCCCTCCATCTCCCGAATAAATACACTAGCCCAGACTGCTTCATGAAGGATCAAACAATCTTTAAAGAACAGATAATCCATTTCTACCTAAGCTCTTATAAAGCACAGAGGAAGAAGGAAAGCCTCCATGGTCTTTATGAAGCAAATGTAACACTGATAGCAAAACCCAACAAACACTGTTCCAAAAAAAGAAAACCAAAGACTATTCTCACTGATGAAATTGAGGCAAAACTCCTAAACAAAATATAAAATCCAATTCTATGGTATGTTATAATGTAATATTTATTGTGACCAAGTGGGAACCAACCAGGAATGCAAGGATGGTTCAATATAAAGAAATCTGTATAATTATTCATATTAACAGAACAAAGAAAAAACCCATATGATCAGTTTCACAGATGTTGAAAAGTCATTTGGTAAAGTTCAGATTCCATTCTTGATTTTTAAAGTTCTCAATAAAATAGAAATAGATGGACACTTCTTTAACCTGATAAAATATCTGCCCCTAAACCAGCATGCTGTGTAATGAGGAAATCCTAGAAGCTTCTCAAGGGCAAAGACAAAGCAAGAATGTCTACTGTCACCACTATTATTTTTCACTGTGCCAGGGACAGTAGACAACACTACTAAATAAGACAAAGAAATCAAGGTATAAAACTTGCAAGGGGCTTCCCTAGTGGTGCAGTGGTTAAGAATCCACCTGCCAATGTAGGGGACACGGATTCGAGCTCTGGTCCAGGAAGATCCCACATGCCGCGGAGCAGCTGAGCCCGTGCGCCACAACTACTGAGCCTGCACTCTAGAGCCCGTGAGCCACAACTACTGAGCCCGTGTGCCACAACTGCTGAAGCTCGTGAGCCTAGAGCCTGTGCTCCGCAACGGGAGAAGCCATCGCAATGGGAAGCCTGCGTACCACAACGATGAGTAGCCTCCGCTCGCCGCAACTAGAGAGAGCCCACGTGCAGCAACGAAGACCCAAGGCAGCCAAAAATAAAAATAAATAAATTTATCAACAACAAAAAAATTAACTTTCCAGAGGAAGGAAACTTTAAAAATGTGCAAGATCTAAATGAAGAAAATACTAAAACATTCCTGAGGGACACAAAAGAAAGTCTGAACAAACAGAAAGGTATAGATCATGTTATTGGAGGGAAAGACATCATTATAAAAATGTCATTTCTTCCTAATTTATAAATTGCGTGCAATCCCAGTAAAAACCCAAACAGGATTTTGTTCTTACCTAGATAAGTTGATTCTACAGTCCAGACAGAAAACTAATGGAACAGCCAAGGAATTTCTGCATAAGAGGATGGTGAATAACAAGCAAGAAGCACCAGCAAATATTAAAATGTTTTATACACATGCTTACAGCATGGATGAACCCTGAAAACACTATGCAGAGGGAAAGAAGCCAGTCACAAAAGGCCACATACTGTATGAGTCCCTTCCTAGGAAAGTCCAAAACAGGGGCATCTATAGAGAAGCGAGGAGCCGGGGGATGAGGGAGTGGGTAAGGGATTTCTTCTGAGGTGATAAAAATGCTCTAAAATGAACTGTGGTGATGGATGCAAAGTTCTGTAAATACACTAAAACCACTGAACGGTACACTTCAAATGGGTGGATTGTGTGGTACGTGAATAGTATCTCAATAAAGCCATTAAAAATGTTTAAATGTGTTATAATGCTACAATAATGAAAACTGTATTGCACTGATATTTGAATACACTTGCATCCATACCCCACACTTTGCACCAGATAAATTATCAAATAATCAAAGATCGTTTATTTTCAAAATTAAACCAGAGAAGAACTAGAAGAATCCCTGGGGACACCTTTTTTTGTTTGTTTTTTTTAAAATCTCAGCATGAGAAAGGACATTCTAAGTATGACACAAAATCCAAAGGCCATACTTCAAAAAACTCCTCCATGGCAGAATCAAAGACAAGTGACAATTTGGGGGAAACATCTGCAATTCATATGACAGACAGAAGTCTAATTCCATCATATACAAAGAGCTCCTATAAATTAATAAGGACAAAACCCAATGAGAAAAATAGATCAAGAAGATGAACAGATAAGTCAGTCAAACCACATCCGTCAAAATTACAAAAGCACATACCTTCGACCCGGTATTTCTTCTTGTAGAAATTTATGCTGTAGTTTTATTCACACCTTTGTGACACATACACAGTGAGAGAGTTTGTTGCTGCATTGCTTGTAATGGCAACAGGTTGGGTATGGTTCTTAGGGGACTGGTCAAATAAATTATGGATCATCCGTGCTATGAAAAACTATATGGCAAAAGAATGAGGAAGCTCTTTAGAGGCTGACATATAGGATATACTGCTAAGTGAAAAAGTGAGGGGCAGGACAGTGGATAAAATATGTATATACACACATATTTGCTGGGATGTGCATAAAACGTCTTCTGAGAGGACACACAACAGCGGGGAGAGGACGAGTTTAACTCTATACCATTCCTTTTGAATACTGGACCACGTGAGTATATTACCATGTCTGAAGATAAAATACATATTAAAAAAGCAAAAAGCAACAACGTAAACACTATGGTAAATGGCAACCACTCCTGCACTATAGGACAGAGGCAATAGGAAAGGGTGGGGACTGTGGTGAACTGGAGATGGGTGTCCCCTTTAAAGAGGCAATAGTTACATTCTAACCAATAGCTACAGGACAGGAACACAGGCCTATGTTACCAGATCCTCTGATTTGTGTTCAAGACACAGTACATCCAGATTTTTATACAAATCTCCCCGTTTTTAAATGTGTCTAAATACTTGGGGGAAAAAAAAACCCCAAACAACCTATGGTGGTTAAAAATAATCAGATCAGAGGGTTTGGGAGCCCCGTCCTGGATGGTAAAGGAGGACAGACCCTTAGAGGTTACCAAGTCCAGCTCCCTAATGGCCCAGAGAGGGAAAAGACATGCCCAAGATCGCCCAGCAATTCAGGCTGCAAGCTGGGATCCCGTTCAGGACTACAGTGAACTTTTGAACAACGTGGTGGTTAATTCAGGCATAACTTACAGTTGGCCCCGCGTATCCTCGGTTCCTCCGTATCTGCGGATTCAACCAACCATGGACCCTGTAGTACTGTGCTATTCACTACTGAAAGGGATCCACCTAGAAGTGGACCTGCACAGTTCAAACCTACATTGTTTAAGGGCCGGCTGTGTTTGCTTCCCCATTATCCTCTCTGCTGATGCAGAGGGAGACAGGACACACAGTCAGGTCACAGAAGAAGTGCTGGGGTCAGGGCCATGGTGCTGGTAGTGGTCAGAGAAGGCTGCTGGGGAGGAGGCCACGCCCAGTGGGGGTCAGCCAGACCAAGGGAGTGGGGAGGGACCCCAGGGAGGCAGCACAGCCTGGGCAAAGGCCTGGGAGAACACGGACGGTCCAAAGCAGGATGGTGGTGGACAGATGTGCCAGAGCGTGGACGGCTTTCCCCGCCTGGGAGCTGCCCTGCGAGGGCCCGAGGTGGGGAAAGCTTGGTGTGTCCAGGAGAGAGGCAGCCCCGTGGACTCGGGGTGGGCAGAGGAAGGGGCGGGGCTAGGGCCAAAAGGAGGGCGTGTCACTCACACTTGCGCAGCTCCAGGCTCTTGGTCGGGCAGGCCAGGTGTTGGCCCGGGGCGTTCTGGGTCCTCTGCAGGCAGGCCAGCATGGCTGAGCTGGGGGCCTGTGGCAGGGGGGACGTGCTCTGCGGCAGGGGCCCTGTGAGGAGGGAGAGGAGGCGCTGGTCACCGGGACTGCTCTGTGCCCACCTCCCCCCTCCCCGTCCAGCCCTGCTCACTGTGTGGGCCGCCTCCTCCAGGGGGCTCCTGCTCAGACCCTCTCCCCCTCCGTGTTCCCCCAGCAGGCCGTCCTTCCAGGGGTGGTGGCCTCCAGCTCTCTTGTAACCGCCTGCCAGCAAATCCATACCAACCTCCCTGCCCCCCACCTTCAGCCTTGAGCTCATCAAGGGCAAAGACCCCACCTGGTCATCTTGGGAACCAACATAGAAAGGGTGCCTGGGAACGGCCAGTGGGCGAATGGGTGTCCCCACTTATTCAGGTGATGGTCTGCCCTCACCCCCGGCCTGGAGACTTCTCACAGCGCCCCTGGAGGGGAGGTGCCCGGGATGGTGTCCCCGGGAGAACCAGAGGTGACCTGTGCTGAGCCCTGAGCCCAGGCCCCGAGGGCCACCACGGCCCCCTGACCGAGTTCCCTACCCCGAACGGAAAGGGCAGGGCCACCCAGGGCAGCTCTGCTAGGCTGGGGCGAGGTCCCCCATGGGCAGCAGCTCAGATGTGGCTCCAGACAGGTCCACGTGTGCTCACTCACCCCGATTCACACAGAAACGAGCATCTTTATCTTCACAGAACCCACTTTTCCGAGAACCCGGAGCCCCCGAGGGGCAGGGTGACACAGCCTGCCCTGGATGGATGGGGAGAGGGTGGGAGGTCTCCTGCCAGGGTCAGGGTAAGGAGAAGGCGGGCTCAACCCCGGACACTACTGATGTCCACCCAGCCCGGGCGCCCCATGCCCACCCTGTCCTGCTCCCAGGCCACCGCCACTGCCAAGGCCTGAGCCACCAAGCTGGGCTGGGTTGAAAAAAGAAGAAAGTGGAGGGGAGGGTGTGTTGAAGGGGGAAAAAAGAGAAGTTATTTAACACTAAACAGGTGTCTGGAGCCCTAAATTCTGCCACTTTCTTCTAATAATGAAGTATTCATGAGGAAAAGCCTTTTTTCACTACTTTCTTAAGATACTAATTTCACAACAAGCTCCTTGTTACGGTGCAATTATTCCAATCTTGTATTTCCCCGAGACGGGTGCAGCCTCCTGTCTGTCCTGGACTCCCGGTAAATGAAAGACAATCACGTACCCACCTTTCATTATGCTCTATTTTACTTTCAGCAAAGGTAGCCTGAAAGAAATGATTTACTCTGAAAGGGACTTTTATTCAGTTTCAAAACCAATTTTCTCCTATTACTGTCTCAGAAAAAAAAAAGAGAGAGAGAAAGTGGGGGGTGGATGGGGGAGGGTCGGTGGTTCTCATGCGCCACGCGCCCAGTCGCCAGCCTTAATGCAGCGATGCAATGAAAGATCTGGTATCCGCTTCCTGGCTTTGATTTCTGGTAATTTTAAAATATGCCATTACAATCAGGCAGAAATTCTACAGTTTAAAAAGGGAATGAAGTAGGGCTGTTGCAGGGATGAGAGCCCTTGACCGCGGGAATGAGGCGCCGCTCCCCGGGGACGCGGACAGCGGGAGCGGGCCGTGCTGGGGCCCTTTGGGACACACCCGCACACATGGGGGCAGCCGGCCCCCCTGGACACCCGGGGACGCGTGGACATGCCGCCCGCCATGCTGGGCGTCCACATGCATCCCGGACATGGTCGCTGCATACGTTTTCCTGCAGGTGGGCACACCCCGTCATACCCTCGCCCACCCCGACTGACACGCTCCTCTGGCACCTCTCAGCATACGCAGCAAGTGCACGGACACGCACAATCATGTGCCCACCTGGAAGGTAAGAGGCCTGTGGTGACCCTGGCAGCCCCGCCCCTCGCCCCTACTCCAGCCCAGAGCAGCAGCCACTTCTTGCTGCTCTGATGCAGGGGTTAGGGGACAAAGGGGATAGCTGGAAAAGGCCAGCCAGCTGCAGGGCCCAAGCAAGCCCTCTGCCTCCACAGATGGGGAAACCCAGGCCAGAGGGAGGCAGCACCCTCCCAGGGGCCACCCAGCAGACGGTGACTGGGTGAACCTGCCCCCTCTCCACTGGGCTACACTGCTTCCCACAGGCTGGGGCAGCTCTGGGCCAGGAAGGAGGGAGGCCAGCCACCTGGCACACCGAGGAAACCTGGGCTGGAAGCCTGGAACCTCCCCTGCCCCAGTGCCTGCTGTGTGACCCCAGGGGAGCTACTGCCCCTCTCTGGCCTTGTAATAGCGCTTCCATGATCCTTTCCAGGTCATTTTTCTCCAGGGTCCTGGCCAAGCCCAGCCCCACTTTGGGAGGTCCTCCCCACCCCTGGCCTTTCACCAGGTGCCCAGAAGCCCAGCCCCTCTCCAGTGCCCCCCCTCCCCAGGGACCATGCACCCCAGCATGCTTTTCAGCTGAAAAGGGCAGGCTGGGACTGCAGTGCTAATCGGGTGAGGGGTAGGCTGCCTGTTCTGGGGCCTCTCTAGACCCCATCAGCTGCCCTCCCAGCAGGGCTCTGGTTTCCGAGTGCTCGGATGGTGGACGACCGGGCAGCTCTGGGAGCTGAGCGGCCACGTGGCCCAGCCCAGGGGACCACAGAGGATTCCCCAGAGGAGACGGTATCCACGTGAAGGCCTCAGCTCAGCTTTTCTGGTGCAGCCCCCTGGATCATTTCATCCCTCACCTCTGGAGGACCAGCAGCCTAAGAGGCTGTCTTCACTTGGAGAGGAGCGATTTCTCTCTCTACACCCCCAGTCCCCCCAACCCACTGCCCATTCTCCCAGGAGCCCTGTGCCTGCTGCTGGGGCAGGTGGGCGGCTCCGGCGTGGGACATGGGCAGGGGCCAGTTCAGTATCCTCCACATCATCTACAAACAAGACAAAACAGCCCTGTTTTGGGCCATAAAAATTCTCTGGTCCCAGAGTAGAGCCTAACCTCCTTTACCTGGCCCTCAAGGCCACTATGACCTGTCCTCCCCGCCTCCCACCCCCATCTCTCCTAGCTCCCTCCTAGCGCTCCCTCCAGCCTGGCAGCCTCCCACCTCCAAACCTTTGCCTGTGCTGGTCCCTCTGCCTACAGCACCGCCACCTGATCCATTTTAACTCAGACTCTGGCTCCCCTCCTCTGGGCATGCCCCCTCACAGCCCTAATCACACAGAGTTGTAATTGCCAATTTTCATGTCTGTCTGTCTCCACTGGACTGTGAGTTTCTCAGGGGCAAGGACCATGTCTTATTTGTCTCTTTCTCCCCAATGCCTGGCAAACAGTAATCACTTTATAAATAGGTGTTGAATGAATGGCTAAATTAATCAATCAGTTATTGTCAGGTGAAGTGACGGAGGCCCAGAGAAGCCAAGCGTCCTGCACAAGGTCACACAGCAAGCTTGGAGACAGGACTGGAGCAGGTGCCTAAAACACTCATGATCTTCCCGTGACCCACCCCCCACCCCCCGCTTGGCATCATCCCATCTGCAGAAAGCCAGCGCCTCAGAGCCCCCGCCCCAACTCATTACTCCCCCAGCCAGGGACCATCCTGGGAGCGCTGCTCATTCTGAAACCCTATCAGCAAATCGGGCTGTTTATAAGCCCAAGGTCTTTTGTGACTTTAATAATAAAAAATGGGGGGAGGGGGGAAATGTCACAAGCCTCAATGATTAGAATGCTTCGGCACCGTCCCTGACGTGGGGGCTGATAAGACGCCTTATCTCGGAAGCACCCCTAGGAAAAGGTCCCCTCCACCAGATAACGCCCCCAGCTGTCGATATGCCCTTTCATAGCTGAGGCTTTAGATAAAGAAAATGTGACAGGGGAGGGGAAAGAAAGGAAGGAACTTTCCAAGTCCGAGGAGGAACTGAGTCTGTGCTGCTTGCCTTGGCAGAACAATGCGTAGCAGAAGGATGTCTAAAGGCTGTCTTTATTTTTATTAAAAGAACAGGGAATTGGGGCCTTTGGCCCTGCCCGCCTTTTGTCATCTCTCCCAGCCTGTCCGGCTGCAGAGGGTGTTGGGGAGCCACCCCCCACGCTGCCAGTGGGAACAGGGAGCTTGAAAATTACAACACGCATGTTAGTGCTAATAGTAGCAGTGCACATTGATTGAAAGCTTCCTCTGTGCCACGCCCCGTGTGCATCCTGTCTGTTATATCTCACAGCATCCTCCTAGCAGCTGCTGTGGTGGGTTCTGTTTTTAGCCCCACTTCACAGATTAGGAAATGGTCACAGAGAGCAGAAGTAATCTGCCCAAGGTCACACAGCTTTTGGGTGGCAGAGCCCGAGGGTGTCAACACGGCTCCACACTGTACGGCCTCCAGCCCCGGCTCCAGAAGCAAAGTCCTACTTCTCCCCAGTGCCCAAGTCTTTGGTTTTACTCCGGGAGGGGCTGGGGTCACAGAGAGGGAGATGAGAGGAGGGAGAGGGACCCTCAGGAATCCACCTACTCATCCCATAAACATTCATGGAGGACAACGCGAGAGGCCTGCGTTGAGCAGAACAGTACAGAGGTGGCTAAGGCAAGGCTCTGCCTCCAGGAGGGAGCTGTTTCGAGGCAGCTGTCATTTACCCAGCCATTCATTCACTCATTCATTCATTCAGGCAGCAAACACTCCCTGAGCATCTCTTGGGGGCCAGCCCCGTGCCATATGCTGGGAGTATGGAAATCGGTGAGAACATCCTGCCAAAACAGAATATCCAACCGGAAGTGACTGCCTACTCCCAAGGCCAGCCTGTTCAAAGCGGACTTCCCTGGCCTCTCCCTCCGGCCTCCAATATTTCTCTGAAGTGGCAGGTGGGCAGGACTTTCCCCCATGTATCCTGTAGGTCAGCAGTCTGCCCCTCACCAGACTGGGCTGGCCCTGGAGCACGTGGAATGCAGGGACGTACTTGGACTCCACAGCAGGAGGAGGCTGTGACCCTGTGAAGGCCATGAGCGGTGCCGCTGCCAGTCCCCGTCCTTCCCTCCTCCCTGAAGCTCCCTACTCTGGCCTCT